ACTTTCTATGGGTTTACCGGCGTGATAACCCACGCGGGATGTTGGGAGAACACGAGAAAAAGCTTGTAAATCACGAGCCGAAGGCGAGTGATTTACAAGCTTTTCGAGTGTTCTCCCAACATCCCGCGTGGGTTATCACGCCGGTAAACCCATAGAAAGTGTGGTCTATTGCTTTTATAAAATAACTTTTAGTAGAATGGAGTCTTTTCGGTAAAAAATATGGTTTTAGTACCGTGATCAAGTCACGTCTTCTCTCTAAAGTCATCGTAAGCCAATCATGACTCACGATTTAATAGCGTTGAACTTTCTTAAAACTCAGTTCACTAAAACAACAAACAGCAGCACTTCAAAACACGAGTTTTTGCACTCATTACATGATAACTTATGAAAGCTGTTTTACAGGAAAAGTCAACATTTATTCAAGCGAACGTACAATGAAAAAATACGTTCATGGTTTGTTTACTACCGAAGTAGAAATTAATTGAACATCAGACTGTACGCCGCTGTATTTTGTTGAGCCGATCAGTAAGAATTTTGTGCTTACAGACGGAACTGGCAGCTATTGTAATGGAGGACTTCATTCACATTTTACAAGCCGCAGTGGTTTCAGATCTGTTTTCTGGACTTTATTATGATTAAGAAATGCTGCGGTAACGACGTGGCTGCATTTGCGAAGTTGTCGCATGTAACTTTCATATGCACGTACAGCGACCGATGGAAATATGTCAGTGGTGGAGAAACGTTTCTTTGCCGTAGCCACATATTGTCGTTAATATTTGTCGATTTGTAAAGTCAGGTGGTTTGAGGTAGGTTATGGCATCCATATCACCGAATAATTTGTGCAAATGTTGGAAAAAACCAGCCCGAAACTCTGACATCTTTCATCATCGTTGGCAGCTTGTTTACAACCCACAGCGGCCGATTTTGTACCATATCTTGATCAGAGATCTCTTTTTGGAACAATTTCTTTCATTAAGGAATTTAATTTTGACGTAAAATAGATCAAGAATGCTAAAACTATCCGTTTTGTTGCTGGTTGGCACATGGTCAAGTTTTCCTGGAGACTTTCTACACCAGAAATTCACACAGTTGTTGCCTTTCTCAGCGATTTGGCATCGTCGTGAAATGTAAACTGCTTTCCAGCTTTGTACTTTATTACTTCTAAAGCTATGGCGTTAATAAAATGTGGAAACCAACGCTTTTGATATTAAGAAGGGCTGGGTAAGTAACTTGTTCTTTTTTTAGCCTTTCTAAAATCATTGTTTGCAGATCAATAGCCGGTTTTGTTTATGGCGCGTGGTCCGGATGCCTTTTTCTATGGGTTTACCGGTATAATAAACCATAGGTTTTTGACCAATCAGATCACGCGTACTATCTCAGTTATTTTATAAATCTCAAGAGACTCTGTAAAATACAGAACCTTGCGTTGGGCCTGTAATTTACTACTGATCCTATATTTTTGCTGTTTTGGTGGGTTTTGTCCTATGTTTTCAGGTCGTCAAGTCCTATATTCCCATATTTTTGGACCCCTAAAGCGCTTCAAAGACCTAAATTCCCGATCCTCGCCTCATGCTTGCCATTCCTAATCCAGTTTAATCCATGGGTTATCATTCCCATTTGCTGCTTCAATAATATTGCTTGCCTCATCATTCAAAATCGTTGTCACACTGTCGGCGATTTCGTATGATTATGCAGGAGTTCGGTATGATTAGAAAGAGATTAGGTAGGTTATTTGCACGATGGCGTCATTTTACTACTAGTACTACCAGAATCTTTCAGGGTTTTTCTTTCCTGTGAAAATTAGGGCTTTTGTTATTCTATCATTACTGGGAAAAAACGAAGTGGATTCTGGTCTTAGTAGTTAAAGTCAGTAGACTAGTAAAAGTCACGAAACGTCGGTAGTCTTAATAGTAAGTACTTAATCGTACAAATGGCCTATTGGATGAGGTTTTGTGACATCCGTAATGATCAAGGTTGAGGTAAAAGGTGACCGAGAACTTGATAGTAGTGTAGTAGGGATGTTTTACTTCTTTTTTTGCAGAGGAATACATAAACGCCAGCGACGTCATAGCCTTTTTGTCTTTTCCTCACGAATTAGTTGCCGATAAGTCTCATTAAGATAAGGTCATCATGGTCATGATTACTCCCTATTTTATAAAGAAAAAAAGGCTATGACGTCATCGACGTTAATGTGTTCCTTCGCAAATTTGCGAAGATTTGTTATGATTAGAAAGCCCCGAATGCGATTGGTACGATGACTACAAGATTTGCACTGTATGCAATTTAGATCCCTGAGGAGAGAAATTACATGGGAGAGGTCTTTCGTTGATGACGCGTTTGTGTAGAGGTCACACAAAAGCGGCAAGAAATGGAGAATCACGTTATATTCTCACAGCAAACCAAAGACAAAAATAGTAAAGATGAAGTGGGGGTTGAAATAAAGACATTTGACTGAAAATTTGTGTGTATAAAGGCTATTGGATTAGGCCATTTCCGAGTTGCTCTACGCCTCAGCTTCGAAGCGAGGCTATATGTGAAACCATTGATACGAAAATGTGTTTTATGCTCACGCAAAAGAAACTCATCCTCACAAGGAAGGGTTTTTCACTTGGCCTACAACTATGTACAATTTGCGCGCAAAGAATCAGCAAACCGGTACCAGGACCATTGCTTTCCTGCACAGGGGCGAATCTAGGGGAAGGGTGCAGGGGGTGCGCAAACCCCCTGAGATGACCCGCAGCTTTCTAATACAACTTTGTGGTTTATTGGTGTTGAGGTAAAATATAAAATGAGGTTGAAGAATTTCTGTTAAACACCGTAAAAATGGTCGTTAAAATGGTAGTTCCTTAGAGGTGCACCCCCTCCTAAGTAAAATCTTGGATCCGCCCCTGCTGCAATGGTCAACTGTAACTGTTTGCTGATTTTTTAAAATCAGTAAACAGTTACAACGCACCAACATGCGTTGTAACGCACCAGTTACAACGCATTTAATCAAAGAAAGACTATCGTCAACTCGTGGGTACGTTGTTTAGAAAATAATCAATTAGTTATCACCTCTGGTTTTCCCACAGTGAATTTTAGAAAATGGTAGAAATTCACTTTAGTAACAGTTATTTAAGTATATATTTAAAAACAAAACAAAAAAAACAGCAAAACAAATAAGCAAACAAGACAAAACAAAAAAGAAAAAAGAAGGAAGAAGGGAAAAAGAAGGTCATTAGCGGGATTTGAACCCAGTACCATCGGTTTGACCCGACCTCACATAGCCACTACGCCATTGAGGATGGTCACGTGATTTGGCGAAAAGTCTCAAATTTAATGCCTTTTTCATGGAACTTCCGCCGGCAAACGACCGGGGCAAACGATCGAGCCATAAAAACTGCTTGAAGCAATGGGATGAAATTAAGGCTAATTGAAACCAGGGTACTGACAACTAAACGCATTTCATACAAAGCCGACACAACTCCTCGGCGAAGTAGGACGCAAAACATTAGCTTATGTTTTCTTATCTCGATTTCCGCTGTTATTTTAAAAAGGTAATGCTCAAACTCACATCCATTTTCCCCCCGTGATCTTGGGGAGTCCTTAAGAAGAAAATACCATACATTTCACCAGTCCGTATTTTATACCCAGTCCGCAGTCCGTAGTCCGCAGTCCGTGTTTTATACTGACCGCCAGAAATTCATTCATACACATAACCTACTACAGTGCTACAAGGTGGGAGATCAAGCCAGCGTCGAAGTTGAAGGAGTCGAAGAGCAAATGCTCATCTTCTTGTCAAGTTTAACGCCTGGACGGGTCAAAGGCTTTTGAATCGTACTAATTTGAAAGATTCCTGCCTGTCTTAAATTTGGTAAGACCTCCATCCTAACCGTGCTGTAGCGCACGATGCACGCTCGCAGCGAGGAATTTGATGCCACCGAACTTCGGCGAGCGCGTCCTTCTTTGGAAACGATAGATCTTCGCGCTCTCGAGTTCGGACCCGATTAATTACGAAGTGCGTCTACTACGAGTGAGTGAGTGAGTGACTCGTTTGCATATCTCAGTCCCTGCAATAACTCGTGGTACGCTCGCGCGTACCCACGAGTTAAAAATGACATCGAGGTTGGTGAGTACCCCTTCTGATCTTTGGGCCTTTAAATAAGACCATAAGGTCCGCTCTATACTACTAATCATTCATGAAAATATTGAAGAAAAGGATCGATACCCAAGGAACCCGCTTTGTCCAAGAGACTTTTAGATAGATAATTCTGCATCAGAGCAACACCGTAAAAAAGCTTAACCAGGAGCAAACCATGAGTTACACAATCTAAAGCCATGTACAGATTTACGAATAACCACTTTCTTATTATCTAGACCGACGCTAGAACCCCCATTAGACACAAGAGTGTGCCCTCGCAACTATAATTCTTGCAAGATACAGATGTATTTCTCTTCAGTTATATAAACGTTTTAATAAACTTCAGAAACTTGTCTCCCACAAGTCATACCGAGTAGTACAGAACCAGGAGTAGATATCACAGTGCCCCTACCCACCTCCCCTATGCTGTTCCATCCTGTATTGTCTTGCATATTCCGCTTTTATCTCGTAAGGAAAACGCTACTAACAAGACAGACTTTGATTAAACTTTAAAAACTGCAGTCAGGTCAATAACAAGCAACGTCCAAAATCATTACTGTCATTTATATTCTTCATCATATTTCTGTTCATATAATTGTTACGTTCATTTACAGTTCTATAAATACCACTTAACGTTGATAATTTGTTAAATAAATTATAGCAAATTCAATTTAAATGCATAATTTTCGGCTTCGAAGTATCTTAAAGGCCATACAATATTTGTTAATAAATATCTGTACAACAGAACATAAATAATATGTTTTCGTACCTACAAATAGGGCAAACTCAAAAATAAACTAAGGTACGTAATGAATAAATAAAGCAATTTATAAAATATTTACATGAAGTGATTATACGAATATTCCATTTATTTATCACTTCATCTTCATATTTCCAGGGTATATTACGCAATTAAATGACCAGCTCCCAGATACCTTGCTAGCTTAATTGGTTAGACCGCCCGCTCACCGGTATCGCAAAGCCGGGTCAGGGTTCGAATACCGGCTTTGTTTTCGCAACTACACAAATTGAGTCTTTCACTGTAATGATCCTCTTTACATTTAGACAGACCTATTTCGATATATCAAAATTCATACTTGGCTCTGAGGGATGGAGGAATAAAAAATTACTTCTTTCCTTTTATTTCCTCGAGCCTCGGTGCCAAGTCTGAATATTAACATACCGAAATTGGTCTATTGCGATATTACATAAATACTTCATCACTATCGTTAAACAAATAAATATTAACAGGTTTGTTTCAATAACAGAAGCCATCCAACCCACTCGTGGTTTCTGACATAAAATGACTGACCCATTTTAGATGAATATTTCATTTTCAGCTGATTGAGTGAAACAAAGGTTTTGACGTTTCTGTCTTATAGCGCCACAGCAAAAGTCAAATAGATCTATTCTGGATTTATACAGTTCGCACAAAAGCTTCAAGATTATCTGTTATCGCAATTGGCATAACCCTAAGGTTGTCAGGCTGTTTTCCTTAGGACTGCTTCTGTAGCTAAAAAAATTTAAAGAAAGTTGATAGTATTACAAGGAGGAATAAGTTTTGGAATTGTTCAACGGACTGCTGGCGCTAGAATACACCAACCTTCTGTTGGTAATTAATAAATTCTATGAAGAAACATAAAAATGACAAAAATTAAATTCTTACAAAATACAACTCGCGTGTCGAATTTGTGTACGACAACCTATTGAAAGAAAATATGACTAACAAAAATTAAAAATGGGCAATCACTATTTTGTCATGACGGGTATATTACACAAGCAATATAAATTATATGTATATTATACAATGTATATGCAAGTGTTCCAGTAATCTGGTAAATTGCTTACAATTACAAAAAAGCAGATTATCAATGTTTAGAGCACAGGCCCTATTTTCGACTATTTTACTCACTGTATATTCGTTTTCTTAGAGGAGGCTAGCTTAAGCTTAAGGCCAGTCACTGTTGCAGGCTTTACTGCAATACCCTCCACTTTTTCTTTATAAACTTTCCTTTTTGTCTCTTCATAAATCTGTTTCGCAATTAACTGCTGTTCTTTTCTCCAGAACACAAGGAAGTCAGAACTAAACCTCGCCCAGAGCTCAAAGAATTCTTGTGGTGGAACACATGAAGCAGAGGGTTTACCACTGAAGAACTGCCAAAGACAAATGTATCTGACAAGTAAAAGGTGACTTGTTAGAATACTAGTAAATAATGCTTCTAAGGCTATGTTGACACTATACTTGAGAGCTCTAACCATACCAGATAGGGCTTCTGTTCACACATAACAACGGTGATTTTGATGTGATTCTTGAAACGGAGCAAAGTACTGGGGCCCGTTTCTCGAAAGTCCCGATAATTAACGGGCCCGGTAAGCTGTTGCCGTTTACATTAAAGATCGAGGTTTCAGTACTTTTGCATCTAACATGATAAGACTATCAGTTAATGAAACAAAATGGAGTAGTTTGCTAGCCTGGACCCGCGCTCTTATTCTTTATATTTCGATTTGAATATTTGATTTCGGGCCCGAAAACTTACCGGGACTTTTGAGAAACGGGCCCCTGATCTCTAAAGTGTAGAGTCACATATTTGACTCCAGACCATCCTAACATGCAGCTAACATGTAGCTAATTTAACATTATTGTACTGTGCCAGGTAACATGCCGGGTGTTTTGTTTGTGTTTAACTTCCTACCTTTTCTTACATTCCGTTAGCACTTGATCCTGCTCTGCTACCTCTGCCCGACTCTGCTCCACAAATGAATTCATCACATCATTAAAAGGCTGCTGCAGATGCTCCTCACTTTCTTTAAACACCTTGGAGAGTTTTCTTTCACAGATATCAAGTTCTTCCTTCAAGTGCTTAATTTCACCTTCTATGTCTTCAAATGTCACTTGAGATGCTGCTTTTAGGTCAGCTGGTTCTGGCAGTGGAAACTTACAACTTACAGTTCCTGCATTCTACAGGAGAGAAGAAAGGACGAAGCTTGTGAGCAAAAACACGTCATCGTAAATTAAATAAAAACTTTTTGAGCCAGTCCAATCTTGGTAGGAAAGTTCATGCAGTAGGTTCGTTTACTTGCCACTGTTCAGGAAATGCAAAGAGCGGACCTGGGAGACAGTGGAAACTGAGCCTACTCATGTGCAGTATTCCTTCCCATATAGAGCTCATCAGCTGCAGTGTATACAGTAGTTGACAACAAAAAAGTCATCGCTGCATTTTAATTGCTATTTTTAAACTTGACTGTGTAAAATTGTGAGGGTCATGAGCTGAGCAGTATTTACACTACTGTGAAGTGATTTTTGTACTCCTTTAAGAACTAAAGTGTACTGTGCTGTAAATCTGTAGTGTAATCTACTGTATTGCCTTGTATTTCATTGCACTACATGTACATTTCACTATGCCAATAACTTACCTTGTCAAACCTGTTAATATAGGTGGTGACAAGGTAATGCAATAGGTTGGATGAATTGTTTTTACATTTCACATCCTTAAGTTTGGGTAAAATATCCAGCTCAAAACCATCTGCTTGACCACGAGAAACATTTCCTCCATTCATGTAGTTTCCAAATGCAAGAACCAAGCCTAAAATACTGGTCACCTCTTTACTTGTCTTGAGCATCTGTTGGATAAGATCCGTAGTGTCACATTAAGCTTTTTTCAGAATTTTAACAATGTTGTAAGATAATAACTAACGCATCAGTGAGTCCTAAGAGAGCCTTGTTATGGGCAGCAGAGGTAGCTCCTATTCCTCAACTTGTACTATAACAAACAGGCCCCAGTTGTTTAAAAAGTGGACAACGTTAACCACTGGATAAATCTCTATCTGGTGGATAGCGCAATTGGTTTCTCTAATTTTTATCCGCTGGATAGTGCTAACTAACGTTTGAACAACCGGGGCCAGATAAGTAAAGTGTAGCCTCAGGTCACCAGCACTGATCAACAGCACTGCGCTAACAATGAAACCAGGGCCACAGCCAGACTTCAGAACAGCCAGACTTGAGAACAAGATGAGGCAAGTTTTGAGCGCCAAAGGCGCGAGCTGCTGCTAGGGGTCTGGGGCATGCCCCCCCACCCCAGAAAATTTTGAAATATAGAGGCTCAGAAATGCTCTTGTAAACATTTTCTGAGGCATTTTTCTGCAGAAAAGTCATTCTTGGGCAAGTGTAGAACTTCACTTTTTTATCGCTTAGAGATACTGGTGCCAAGTTAACGACCATCTGCATTTTAAAGCATTCAAATGTTGTAGCACGTATTATAACAATAAAATGAATCCACGAGAGTAGCCAACGTTTATGGATTTTATACTGTAAATAATTAGGAGAAGTCTTAGGTACCACTTTTTTTGAAGTTCGTTCTTAGATGATATACAGCATCACGCTCACTTATCAATTATCTGTTTCAATACACTCTTGCTTATGTTCTTCAACTTTGAGACAGTCATGTCATAATATTGTCATCTCTTATACTTGTAAGACTAAGAAGTCACTAACTTTCACGATTAAGAGTAGTAACGGCTTCTCCCTTAACAGTTGGAAAAGTGAAAAATTTCCCTTCCCTCTCTAAGCCACAGCAACCTTATTGCCATCACAACCCACATCCACGGTAATTTGAATCAATTTGACATGAAGACAGCTTTGACATAATAATTGACATAATTGTTTAACTTGAGTTCAGTAATGAACATGCCATTAAAAACTCGGTTACCTCACAAATCAATCTGAAATTAGTGAGTTTCCGCCCCATTTCTGACAGTGAATCTGTTACTGTTGTTCTCAACATCATGCAAAACAGTCGTTCTTCATAGCAGCTAATTGTTGACAAGTCCTTGAAGAACTGTTCTGGTCTGTCAAGTACCGCATCACAATTTTTCTCACAGAAAGAAGAAATTGTACGAAGTTCCTCTTCTGTTGGCCTCTATAATAAAATAAGCAAAGAGTTCTTATGAACTTTGATCCACTGGAATAGTATATAATATCCTCATACATAAGGAACTTCTTGGGAATGTTTTGAAACCAAAAGTCATGTGTTATCAGTTGTCTGGTAAGTGTAGTCCAGAAAGATACACTCATACTTCACCTACTTATGAAATAAGAGTCAACAAGTAGACATTGGTTTTATTTCTACACTAATAAACACCACCAAAAAAAGTAATTAGCCAAACCGAATCCCTGTCCAAGAGGTGAATAAATGTATAAAGCAGTTTGTCCCCAGTTTTCATTTTTGGTCTTTCCTTCATTTCATGCATTCTCCCAACATTTTTCCCGGCAGCAACAGGCCATGAATATCAATTTTAGCACTTTTTTAAGAGCCATTTTCTGAGAAAATCGAGAATCGCAAGACACTCGTCAAAAAATCGAATTTTTTATTATTTTGCCAAAACATCCCTTTTAGTGACCTTATTTAAGGAAAAATAGTTTTGGGTTCAAACGATTCATTTTAAAGGAGAAATTAAAAAAAGTTTGAAAAATCGATTTTATTCCTGTTTTTCGAACAAAACACGGCAGGATTCAATGGCAACTCCGAGAGAAGGGTGAACGCGTAAGAAACATTCCCTGACACTGAAACTTCACCGAATTATTATTTTGTTCTTACTCTTGAAAACCTTAAAAGAAAATTTGAAAAACAATGTCTTATATTTTTATAATCGACAAGTCTAAAGAGGTCATATTTGTGACGTTAGACATGCTAGAAAACAAAGGCCAACTTTGACCATTAAAAAAGGCCTCTGGTATATGCCGCTTGACCATAAAATCAATATAAAATGGAACCTTGGCTTTTGTACTAACTTACTGGAAAGTTTTAGCTCTGGAAATCAAATACCATCCTGACACCAAAGCAAGCGGTGAGAGCAATTGAATGGGGAAATTTATGCAAATTAGACAGCTTGCGGACGGTTGTCAAACTAAAAGAAAGGTTTTACATGAAAGGATTACTCACCATTGCTTGTAACACGTTTTTACGGCAAGGAAAGTTATTTCCAACTTCTGTTGCGTCGTTTTGAGTCACAAAATCGATAATTTTAAGCCAAAAGGTCAAAAAGACAAACGTACGTTTGCTCAGCGACTGCGCCAGAATCCGGCCGTGAATCGAAATAAAGTCACAACACGTCACTGCGGTCCTTTAGAAGCAAGAGTTGCAAGAGTTTTTACTTCAGTCAGCGGGCCGAATGACTGAAAATTCATCGCAAACTAATGAATCGATTTTGAAAACCTTTCATCACTTCAATCGTTCGTCGGCTGATAATAAACATCGCACAAGATCGTATGACCTTTGGCGTGTGACCGGAAATCGGTCACACGCTTAAGTCACGTTAGCATACTGTCACGAATTTAATACGATTTTTCACGTTTGCTTGCGACAAAAAATAGACTCATCGAAATAAAATCAGGCCTGCTTTATTTGTTTTTTTTTTTTTCAAATTTCTTTTATAGCCAGCAGAACTTGTTCCCCATGCATCGCGCGTGTCTCGCGCCCCCAGTCCGCTTCGCAGTGCTAGCGTGAAAAGCGCAAAAAACTGAAATTGACTCCTGTTCTGCAGTTGATTACTTTTATAGACACCTTCTAGGTATTGACAGGCTGTGAAAACAAAGTATTTTTTTTATTATTATTTTTTGAAGTGCTACATCATTTTCCTATAAATTTCAAACGTGATTGCTAAAAGACTGTTTGGAACCCAAGGATGGAGAAAAGCTGTGCAGGAGAGAAGGTCAACCTCCTAGCCGAGCCAACTTTTGCGAGCGTTTATATGAGGAAAAAACTGAGCACTTTGTCCGAGTCAACAGTGCTTGCGCATGCTGTCTTTGTGTAGCCTTGACCATGTTGTCCCAGCTAGCTGGGCGAGCCAAAGTGGAGAAATATTAGCCGGGCTAGAAGGGTAAGGCCACCACTACCGGCTCAGTGGAGGGCTGACTTCCGGAAGCCCTCAACCCCGCCCACTACTGGTAGTAAGGCGTCTATCCGAACCAACCTTTTGTTTCTCATGTAAATGGTTTACCAAGTTTTGTAAGGAAATGGAGGAAAAGTTGGCTCGCCCAGGGTAGCTTGGGAGGTGAGTACATGGAGGTTCGACTGTGTTAGGTCTATTATAGTATAAGCCACCATCACCTCACTGTGAGTGACGAGAGCCAGGAAAGTATAGTATACACTCCCTCAGGATACACAGTATCGTTGTTATCGTTGTTTTGAGGTCCCGATTAGCGAAATGGATCATTCAAGGGAGGTACTGAAGTCCCATAGTGAAATTTATAAGGTTTATGGGTTTTTAGTGCAAGGCGAAACACAATTCTTAGGGCCCTGTTGTTCAAACGTTGGATAGCGCTACCCACCGGAAATCACTCTCAAGCGAATAAGAAGAAGCAATTGCGTTACTTATTGGATATAGATTTATCCAGGGGAAAGCGTTAGTCCCGGGGGCGTTAGTCAACTTTTCAAACATACAGCCTCTCAGTCACTCTCCGCCGCAGACTTACCCTTGGCGACCAGGATAGGGGAATATAATACTCGACCTTCCTTGCATCATCGCGAGAGCCTATAGCCTTCACTTTCTTTTGGCTCGTCCTACAATCCTACCCAACGTTCGTGGGACAGGAAAGTCTGCGTGCGAGGCTTGGGAATCTAGGGAGACTATGGTAGCATGGTGCAAATAGCCGGGATGAGCTACTTTGTCCACACGAACCAAGAGGGTTGGGTCTGCTAGAAGAAATCAGGTGTAGCTTTCTGTGATAAGTAATATTCCAACAGTATAGGATCATAGTTTGAAGCCATTTCACAATCACTAGTTTCCGCGCACCTCTACCGGCGAGTTGTGGACAAAAGCAGCTGATAGCTGTATGCGAACCTTTTTTCCACAAAATGGTTTCTGGGTTTTCGTATTCGACAGTGTCACGTATTGATTTTTTTAATCTTAATGGAGGTCTTTTTTATTATGTACTGTCTATCTGACTGACTGTTTCTTTGTGTTTTTTTTTTTCTGGTAATAACAGGTTTCATAATTTGGTCGTAGTTGGGGTTATAGGCTCCTGATCGTGAGCAAATAGCGAAAAAATCAACAAGCAAAACCAAAGTAAACTATAGCGTTGAATCCGTTGGCCACGGAGAATTGGTATTATTCTGCAAGTTCTTTACTACAGCAAGAGAGTATACTCCCTTGACTATGGGACATTGGGCCGGGGGAACTTAGTATTTTGACCCGGCATAGTGGAGGAGGGGAGGGGAAGGGGGTACTCTGGCCAGATTCCAAGTCACGGGGATGATCGAAGTATGTTTTTTTCTTGGTTTGAAAATATTTTGAACAAATTAATTTTTTAGCTGTGGCTTTACTTAAGTATTCAAAATATTCGTTCTTTTTTGGTCTTAATTTTCGCTTCCACAGATCACTCACGACGCTTGGAATCCGAGGTACCCCTCCTGTTTAGTGCTTCGAAGGCAAAAAAGCTGTTTCAAAGTCTAGTAGGTAAATAAAGAAAAATAAATATGCATGGCTGTTTCTACTGCGATGAGAGGATTTCTTGTCAGAAAATGTGAAAACTGTATTAAAATTGCTGACAACAGCTACGAAACAGCTACGAAAATGCTACGAAAATGACAGCATGCTGACGTGACTAAAGCGTGTGACCAATTTCCGGTCACACGCCAAAGGTCATACGATCTTGTGCGATGTTTATTATCAGCCGACGAACGATTGAAGTGATGAAAGGTTTTCAAAATCGAAGTCATTAGTTTGCTCCTGTTTGCGATGAATTTTTATTCCTTTTGCCTCCTGACTGAAGTAAAAACTCTTGTAACTCTTGCTTCGACGTGTTGTGACTTTATTTCGAATCACGGCCGGATTCGGACGCAGTTGCTGAGCAGACGTACGTTTGTCTTTTGGCTAAAAATTATATATTTTGTGACTCAAAACGACGCAACAGAAGTTGGAAATAACTTTCCTTGCCGTAAAAACGTGTTACAAGCAATGGTGAGTAATCCTTTCATTTAAAACCTTTCTTTTAGTTTGACAACCGTCCGCAAGCCGTCTAATTTGCATAAATTTCCCAATTCAATTGCTCTCACCGCTTGCTTTGGTGTCAGGATGGTATTTGATTTCCAGAGCTAAAACTTTCCAGTAGGTTAGTACAAAAACCAAGGTTCCATTTTATATTGATTTTATGATCAAGTGGCATATACCAGAGGCCTTTTTTAATAGTCAAAGTTGGCCTTCATTTTCTAGCACGTCTAACGTCACAAATATGACCTCTTTACACTTGTCGATTATAAAAATGTAAAGCATTGTTTATCAAATTTTCTTTTAGGATTTTCAAGAGTAAGAACAAAATAATAATTCGGTGAAGTTTCAATGTCAGGGAATGTTTCTTACGCGTTCACCCTTCTCTCGAAGTTGCCATTGCATCCTGCCGTGTTTTGTGCGAAAAACGAGCATAAAATCGATTTTTCAAACTTTTCCTAATTTCTCCTTTAAAATGAATCGTTTGAACCCAAAACTATTTTTTCTCAAATTAGGTCACTAAAAGGGATGTTTTGGCAAAAGAAAAAAAAATTCCATTTTTTGACGAGTGTCGTGCGATTCTCGATTTTCTCAGATAATGGCTCTTAAGAATCATGGTCTGCCAAACAAGGAAAGAATGGTAATATAAACCAAAGTCAAATTCAGGGCTTAGGTGACATACTACTGGTCTAGGAAGCTCAATTTCATTCATTTATCTACTTACATGTATGAACAGTTTCAGCAGCCACAAATTAAGGCTTTGCTCACGGGCAACTAAAATTTGAAACAAGGAGCCTGCCCGGGCACCTAAAACTTATGATTCTTATGGCAATAGCCTCTATGCCTATGTCCAATGAAGGAATGACAGAATTTCCTGCTCCTTTTACACTTTTGAAAAGGTAAAACGTATGTTCGTCAACCGTAGGTAAAAAATTTCGGCTGATAGAAGTAAACAAAAAAGCATTTTTCTGGCAATTCGAAACTCAATTGGCTCCTAGAATTGTGGCTAGGGCTCCTAACTTTCTATTTTAGGAGTCCAAAGGGCTCCCAAAAAATTTTCTTAGGCAGCAGCATTGAATCAATTCATTTCACACGGGATATTTCTCGTTTCTTTCTTATAAAATTATGCTAGTTTAATTCATTTCATCACAAGAAATTGCCTGTTGCATTGATCAAAATAATGGAAAGTCCCCCAGATGATCACATTATGAAATGGGTTTAACTAGTCCCCATTACTTACAATTTCGAAGAGTGAGCTCAAAGTTTCTTGATCTAGAATAGATGTGTTAACATTATACAATGCATCTTTTATCTCATCCATTTCAACATGAAGACTTCTCAGGAATATTCCCACAGCCTGTGATCTCTTGTTGTCCAACAAATGGATAACTCTTTGTTTTCTTTTGTTCGAGGATGTGGAAGACAGAAGCTTCCCATCAGTTTTTCTCTCAACCTTTGCAAACATTTTGGCAAGGTCATTGCCATTGATTTCTGGCTCTTCAAGTGATGCCCAGACAGTTGAGCTACACTTTTTTTCTCCGTCACCCACTTGATTCAGTTGGATGCGTTTCCAAAAGAGTGGTTTCATGGGAGATGCTAAATTTATCAACCAGAAAAAATGAAACAAACATAATTAAAAACAACTAGGTAATATGCGGACCACCAGCAAGATTAACAGTATGGCTGGGTAAGTTAGGTGTTTGTGATTCAATCTTTAGTGAGGAGAAAAGGATGATATGAGTAAAATATCATGTAACTTCAATCATAACATTTAAATGAACTTTTTGTTGCTCTCTACCCACCAAGACTTCTTTCAAAATACTTTCACAACCTTCAAGGTTTTAGAAAAACAGGGTAGAAAGGCAAAAACAGAAAGAAGGGGAGAAAGTAAGAATGAAGGTCAGGGATTGACAGAAAAGCGTCATAATTTTGTTCGTAAAACTATCTGAATACCAAAGCTTAATAAAGAGAGCAAAGTCCTCAACTTGTAAACAGGGTGTTCTTTGTGGCTAGATAAAGCCCTGGCAACAATTTTTTAAACCTTCCTTCAAACAACATTTTTAGGCAAATCCTTCCAAGGAAAAAGGGGGCTTTATTCTTATAGCCATCATCTCTAACCCTAATCTATCCACAGTAAAAAAACCCACTTTCACTGAAAAATTAATAATAATTATAATAAATTAATAAACAGGGAGCAGATCTAAATGTGAAAAATAATTAAATAATTTACTTAGTACCTGGAGCGATGGGTTTTTTCCTGCAGACTGATAGTTTCCTTGCAACAGAAAGCTTTGAAAATGTTGGTATGGGAGGGGGAGGTGGAGGGGGAACAGGAGGAAGAGAGCAGGCTGACACTCCTAAGGGTGGTGGTGGAGGTACATGCATGGGAGGAGGAGGTGGTGGAGGAGGAGGAGGAGGGGGGGGGGAGGGGGAGAAACATCTGATGTAGGTTGCACAGGTGGTAAAACAGAAGAAACTTGATTCTTAGCATGGTTCTCAGTAGGGGTGGAAGTAACATGTGTGAGTGCAGGTTGTGATGGTGGACAAGGAAGTGGTGGTGGATGGTGCATGTATCTTGATAAAGAAGGGCTTGAGGGTGGTGTTCTGGTTACTGGCAGTCCAACACCAGGATACATTGTAGCACAGCTCCCAACAACTGACTGATTTCCTTGATCACACACAATAACAATACACGAGACCTAAGAAAAAAGAATTAACATATAACTCACCTTCTGAGTGTCAGATTTCAAGTGTAGTTTTACGTGACTTTTGATGACCTTTGCTGTAAACAAACCCCAAAGGTTCGGACATTCGTTCTCTGACACATACTGTACTAAGTACGTGCTAAATGTTATTTCCCATTCACTGTTTAAAACTCACAAATATCTAAGCAGAAGAATAAGAGCGATTTTAAGGCCAAGGGCATGGCAGAAGTGCAGGAACAAGGAGTGCTTGTAGTGGGAATTCCCGCCTCAACCGCTAAAATGGTTTTAATATTGGAACTAAACCTCAGAAGAAATAAAACCGGTGATGTGTGCAAATTTCATACATACATGATTCACATTTCAAAAATCATGATCACATGCGATCACCACTATTAATTTTCAATACATTTTCCCTAGATAGAAAAACATTTGTTGTTTGGCTTTTTGTTGTTTGACAATGTTGATGGTATTTATAACTTTTCAAGATCCATCTGCAGGAGTGCTATAAAACCATTCTTTCAACTGTAAAAAGGAGCACCTTTTCCAGTGTGTCTGCATCTTAAGTTGCAAAAATTCTTTCAACTGAAAAGGAGATTTCCATGCACTTGTTGAAACTTCATGTTCCAGCAAATGTTTTTTCTGTTCCACCACACCTGAGGCGGTTAAAGTCACTCCTGATCTTCTGCTTTGAAATTTTGAACCTTAAACTATTCGATTTTCAAACAGCAAAAGGGAAGGAAAATAATTATATAAGTTAATGAGAACTTGAAATAGTGACTCTAAGTTCAGATAAGTACAGTATGTGGCAGAGAATGGATGTCTGAACTTTCAGGGTGTGTTTACAGAAAAGGTCACATGAAACTACATGTGAAATCTTAGAAGCTCAGAAGGTGAATTAACAAAATGATACCAAGAATACAACCAAGTATTGTCAGCAGCAATCGAGATTAAAATACCAAGTTCACAAACTTTATGTATTCATTTCTTAAATTAAAAGACAAGAAGAGTGAGAAGAGGACTGTGCATTTTGCCTTCACAAGTTCAAGTTTGTTAAAAACACTTTGGATATATGTCATAATTAATCCTTGCCCGCAAAGTAGCCAACAGCTAATCAAGGCGGGAAGGAAAAGTAAAAAAAGTTACAATAATAGGGCTGAAAAATAACAATAAAGTTAAACAGATACATGAACATCAACATATTAAATTAACAAGACAGAGACTACATATATTTCAATATAGGTAAATGAAACAAGGTATGAAAGAAATTAACCTGAAAATTAAATGTTTACTTTTGAGTTGTTTGCTTTTCCAGGCATAATTATACATAATTTTAACCACACTCTACTTGCTCAAAGCGCATGTCAACTCGCTCAGAGTGCACAAATTCAAATTCAAATTCCACCCTGATGACACAAATCAATGTTTAAATGATAAATTTGGTAATCATAGAATTCTATACATAGATTTCCTTGAGTTTTTGTTTCTCCACAGAGGAAATTTTGTTCTTATTACAAGAACTGAATTACATGATAGACCTTAGCAAAACGACTAATATAATGTTAGCAAAGATATTAGGGAAGCAACTCATAAAATGACTTGAACAACTGACCTAACATTTTATTGAAACATTTAAGATGTTTGCGAAGCTTGTTGGCAGAACAACCAATATTATTTTAGATTGAGCCATCAGCTACTCCTCCATTTCTAGGCTAAATACTTAACTTTCAGGGTTGTCCCTTCCCCCTGTTTTTACCACTGACTTTCCAATGAAATGGCAAGGAAAATCATATTTCAGTTTAATACTATGTTCAGAGCTTTTTTCAATGGTTATGTCTGAAAACAGGGGTGCGAAGCAACCACAACAGTATGAACCACTACACAAATAGCAATCGACCATTAGTCTTCAGATAGCCTGAGAAAGCAGCTGAAATTTTGTGACGTCACCTCTGGTTTCCCTGCAAAAAGACATGTCACCACCCAGATCAGGGAGGTGCTTCTGATTGGTCGCGCCACAACGAAAATTTACTGCAACCAATCAGAAGCACTACCCGGATCTAGGAAGTGATGTTACAGATCAGAATTAAATTCAGGTTAAAATTTTTTAACCTTAGTTGATTCTCAATTTCCTTTGCCTCCTAGCCCAATTTCAAGAATAATCAGAGCTAGCAGAGAAAGGAAAAGATTTTAACCGGAAAATATTAATTTTGACTTGTAACAGTGACATGTCACCTGTATAGAATTTCTGCACTTGTTTCTCAGACATCATTTTGCTGGGAGACCAGTGGTGGTGTCACGAAATGTTGGCTGTTTTCACATGCTACTCTTCAGTTGGTAATTAAAGAGAAAAGGGGAGCTGTATGCAGTGTAAAATAGAACCAAAGTGTTTACCTGAGCTCCACAACTGCCACCCTGCAGAGAGAAAAAGAAAGTGGCCATGCATTGTAGAGAGGTGGCCGTTTAATAGAGGAGGCTCGACTGTATGATTACAAGCACTTAAAGCAAAAACGACCACCTATATCTATTGCGACTCGTATTAAGTATTCGTATAAAGTCAGTTTAGATAATTTCGGATCTAACTTTTATTGTAAAGTTTGTAAGTCTTGCACTGAAGGCTGTTATCTAATGTTCCGAAGGGAGAAAATAGGACAGGGTAAACAAAAAGATTTACGTTAATGGTGAGCTTATCAGCTTACCTGAATTTTCCAAAATTTACCGTTCCATTTTGTTCACATTATCGAGAACATCCTTCTTTTCACGTCCCTTCCGCCTTCGTCCCTCCCACCATTTTCCCGAAGCAGGGAGCTATTCATTTGAGAGCGGGGGGCATTCAAGTAAGCCAGCGGTTGCTCACAATATGAGGTAAGTATGTCGTGTTTCCTTACACACCACGAACGGTCCCCTTTATCCGCCCTAGTCCCCTGTGCTGGACTCCCCGCTCGGTTACATGCACGGGCGGGGTACTTCCTTATGAGAGGCTAATGGGGATGTACCGCTGGATGGGGTCGCATTTTCCATAGAGTTACTAGAATGGGGTCGCACATTTTCGGCTTTTTTAGGGTAAGACAGTTTTCATATTTACGGTTAGCAAACGTACCAGAATGTTTGTACCGCATATGAAAAGTAAAGTGTTCTTCATTCAAAGTAATAAATGAGTCAATTCATAAAAATAGAAAGTGACTAAGTTGGGATGGCGAAAATTACATATTTGCCCAAAAGTGACGGGGATGGGGTCTGTAATTGGCCACAGAATGTGTAGCAGCTCTGAGAGGCCAGCGGCACATGCCCCCGGGGGGCGGGGGGGGGACTCCCATATAAAACAGACGGGGATGCTCGTCGTCTCACTTAGGGGTGTAAATTTTGGATTTTGGTCTCGCTTAGGGTGTTCCGGGCAAAGCGCTAATATTTTAAGCCGTCAAAGTCTCGTTTAGGGTTCCGCGAAGAACTTAAGATTTATGACAATGCTTTTAAAAATTACTTTTAGATAAAAGCATTCGATGATTATGTCTTTACATCATTAGCACTCATTGCATGTCGTATTTCTGTGTTTTTAAGCGGTCCCTTTTAGGAGTCAAAATTTGCTTAAGCCACGCCCAGATTGGTCTCCTTTAGGGGTCACAAAAAGCTTGAGCCACGCCCAGATGGTCTCCTTTAGGGGTTAAATTCAAAATTTCCGACGAGCATCCCCGTCTGTTTCATATGGGAGTCCCCCCCCCGGGCACATGCCAAACAAAAATTAACCCAAGTAGCCCCCCCGGAGTTACATGTTGTTCACTGTTGTTCACTGCGTTCTCTGCAAGCTCGTAGGAAGTAAGGGTTTGCCTTTTTATTTGTGACAATTTTAAAAACGCCTGAGTAATGCAAAGCCTACTTTCAAACAATATGCAAAGTCTGTCGGTTCAATTGAAGGCGCCACGCAGCGCACCTTGACGTGAAATACAGTAATAATTTGTATTTTGTTCTCACGTGTTTTGGGTCGTTGGCTGGTTCCTCGTTTCAGTAACTGCGGCTGAAAGTTTCAGTCTCCGAATGAATACCTGACTTTGGGGTATATCCGTTCTTTTGCAGGGTACGAGCACTATAGCTTTGTTTTTCTAAGGATTTCTGAAATGTCCTAATGGCACTCTAGAATAGTTTTGAAGGGAAAACTTGATGCACAATTAAGATTCTCCTGGGACAAGGGGGAAGATTCC